TGGACTCAATTTGCACTATTTCTGGCAGTCTGCAATCCCCCTTTGTTTCCTGGCTCAGCATCAGAGAACATACACTATGCTAGGTAGTATTTCTAAAAGTGCACCTCCTGTAGCAGATGCCCTTTTGCTTTTGTTGCCTTGGTTAAAGTTCTGATTCTAGTTACCATGAGATTCAAAGAATAGGAACCTGCCTTCTGCCCAAATACACTTCTGCAGAATGTTAACGCTTCCTTAATTTCCTATCAACAACCCTGTATATATATACACACAAATAATAAACACTGAACCACTACGCTGTTACACACTTAATAACATGCAGCAGAGGTTAAGATATTACTTAGCCTAATATATATGTAGTTTTACAACTTCCATGTTCAAATAAGCTCCTTTTTGATAAGACACCTTGCTCAAGCACTCTTATTCTTCGTTTGGTGTTCAAACCACATTTGTTCAGTGTTTCTCAGGACCAACCTGCCTGGTCAAAGCAAGATCAATATGAGACCCTTGGGTCTTTCCTACTGTGCCCAGGAATAGCTCCCTTCCATGCTCCTCATTTTGGTTTTGTCTAGCAAGTTGGATTTTTTCTAGCTACTTCTGAGATATTTTAGTTGGTTTTGATATTGGACAACACTGAATATTGTGCAAGTGGAATTTTGGTCACGCACTGGGACTATCATGCCATCCTGTACACTCTTCAGATCTGCTCAGAAAGGATCTCTCAACACTTAGGACCAGATCTGAGGTTGTAACATCTGCAGGGGACTGCAAAAGGGAGGGAAACCTCTTTAGTAAGGGTATTATGCTGGCAAAATGACAGTGCTGTATAGAACCTGTTATACCAATTTTTGTGAAAAGAATGCTCCCTCTGATTAAAAAAGAAAAAGAAAATTAGCACAATAAGGTGCCATAAAACACTTGTTAACATCAAGTTTGACACTGATATGTGATCCATCAAATAAAAAGCAATCCATTTTATGTATAAATATTTATTATCAATTTAAAGACTTAATTTGCTAGAAAGTTACAGATCTGCTTAGTCCAAGTTATCTTGCTATGCACATGGATTCTGTACACTGTAACAATCTCTTCTGTACTTCTGTTCACTGTTCCCTATTTAAGATGCGAAGTCTGCAACTTTTATGTTATCAGGATTAACTCAAAATTTGGTAAAAAGAAATCCCCCGAGAACCAGTTATAAAGATTCTGAGACGAAAGTGAATATACAAATGCTGAAAAAAGTGATGTTGTGAAAAAAGTGCCTTAGAATTTACTATACATTTTGCATTAACTTCATAAATTGCTTCTACATGCAAGATAGATTTCACTACATTTGGTGTAAAACATTTATACACATCCTTTACAATTTGTACAAATATTTCATGGCTATATCGCAACACTTTATGGAATTTTGGATGGCAAACTAAAAGAGAAGAAAGTGTGTAAAAAAATATAACTGACAACTTGACAATGAAAAGCATTTCAGCTGGACTGACACTCTGCAATTACATTGTTTTGGCTTCATATTATCTTGACCAGCCCAGATTCCTTTTTATTCTAAAACCTATTAAACAGATGCAAGTGACAATAGAATAAGTCTGTAGAACGTAGAAATAATAAATCTAGAGCAAAGATTAGCTCTACTGAAAGTTTAACTTGGCACCATGGTCTGTTCGTGGCAACATTTCTATCATCAGTTCAATCTTCTTACAGTTCATCCCTTTGGAGCTCAGTCAGTATACGAAAGTTGTCTTACACTAGGCCGAAATTTACCATTTTGAATTAGCTGTTTCTTTGACACTGTATGTTGATACACAAATAACTATTTGCTTTTCCTCTGGAAAAAAGACTGACATTCTTGGCCATTTTGGGATCAAGTGTTTTTGTTTCTGTGTCAAATCAGCTTAATATAAGGACCTAAAGCACAGAAGTGATCTTAGCACATTTTCTATCATGTCAGTAGTGATGAAATATGAGCTGCTAATGATACAACACACTTTTTGGGGACAATGGTGAAAGCCCCTAAGAAAAAACAGTACTATCACTGGAAAGGAGCAGAAGGTGGATGGCTTAGAGTTATTTGATAGTTCAATATTTTCCAGATGTTTGGAATGGCTGTCTTGAAGTTCAACCTTTTTTTTTTCTCTAAAGCCAGTCCAATTTTCAGGCATCTATTTAAAAGAATATGATATTAAATGTCTTCAAAAGGGAAAAATAAATATTACAGAAACCGAATGGAACGGCTGTATCAGAGAAAGGGTGTACCTTTGCTCAGCAGCACAATTAAACCAAAACAAAAACCAAAAAAAAAAAAAACATTTGCTTGGATGCTATAAAGCAGTTTAACAACTGGATAAATGAACTGACTGTTTTGGAAATAAAACTTATTTAGATCTCTTAACAAATCCTTATACTTTTTTTTTCAAGAACTGCTAATTGACTGATACTGAATTTTTTTTTTAAAGTTTAAGGTTATGTATCTTTTTTTAACCCTTAGCAACAAATCATTTGGCAATTTAAAGCCCAATCATCTCACGTTCCAGTTTTGCTTAGACATATAAGAAGGTAAAGCACTCAGGATAAAAATATACATAAATATCCAAGGCATTTAGGCTAACAAAGTAAACATCTCAAGTTTTCACTTTTTTGCATCTTGTTTTTTTTTTAAAAAGGCTTTTTGGATGGCAAAGGCATCTTGTATTTGCACTGTCCCCACCAAAAATCAGGAAAGCACTTTGGAGTCTTTTTTTTCATTATCTGTATCTACATCATTGGAAAGCGGCTGAGAGCCTGCCTCAGCTTCTGTGCAATCTGAAACAGAGAAAAATACAATGTACAAAGTAAGATACAAAGTAATGCATATTAGCATTACCCAACTTTTATCTCAATGATCTTGGGAGAAGGAAAGTTAAGCAAGACATTAATAAATGTAAAGTCTAATACCTATTGTAAGCATTCATTCTGCACAGCACGATCCTATACATGTTTACTCAGAAGTAAATCCCATGTAGTCCAAAGGGACTTACTGTCAGATGAACTGGTACAGGATTACAACCCTAATGTTTTTTTTTTGTTTTTTTTTAAAAAACACCAAACTCAATTCCAATTCAACTTACTCTAACACTCAACTGTTACACCAGCTTGCTTTTACCTGAGGTTTGTTATAGAAATAAAGTGATACATATGATTTTTATGTAGTAGTAAACAGCAATGTACAAACAAATCTGCTTAGTAATTACTGTATATACTCAACTATAAATCGACCTCATGTATAAGTTGAGGGCAGGTTTTGGGGTCAAAATTATGGATTTTGCCATGACCCATGGATAGAGGGTAAAACTTGGAGGCTCCTTCAGTGTGTGTATGTGTGCGCCTAGCAAGAGGGACTCTATTGAGGCTTTTTGCTTCAGCGTTTCAGCCTTCACTCCCCAGACAGTGATACCAGCATGGGAGGGACTCTGTTTGTTTATTCAGTAGCAATTAATTA